AATCAGAATTTGCTAAATAAAACGGAGAAAAAGTTATGAAGCTTCAAAGTTGGCAAAATCGCCAAAAACCGTACCTTTAAGGGCCCGTAAAGACCGGTGGAACGGAATTGAGGAGAAAAGAATTAGTGCAGCTTGTTCAGCAGAAAAAGCGCTTTTGAATGAGCTGTAATACGTAGCATTTGCAAACAATTCACTGAAAAAAGTTTTTTTTTGGATTCACGGGCAAGGGTATGGCCTGTTAAGTTCATAGAAGAGATTTTCGCGAAATCATCGTAAACTTGAAGTAAGATAGCTCATTCGAAAGCGCTTTTTCTGCTGAACAAGATGCACTAATGGGTTGTGGCAAATTTTCATTCCCTGGGCCTTTGCAGGCCCATAAAAGTCCGATTTTGGGCGATTTTGCCAACTTTGAAGCTTCATAACTTTTTTCTCCGTTTTATTTAGCAAATTCTGATTACAGATTCGGAATCCCCGTGTCCGATTCTATCAGATCCACTATGTCTCCTGTCGATTTCTCGTGGGCCGGTCGTGCACTTCCCTTGTGAGAGGGGTTTTTGGGGGCGCTTACGCGAGGGAAAGCGTCGATGGTAGCACCGCGGCGGTCCGTCACCCCGACGGACGCCGGCCCATCTTTCTCCAGCCCTTTAACACGAAATTGTTGAACATCGAAAAAATCGACGAGACTTGGTATGACCCCGTTTTTTGTATGGGAAATGGTGAAAAACAGCCTATTTCATACCCCCGTGAGTGATCGTCGATAGAGAGTAGCGCGTTCAATCAAATATATCATTCGATTCAGTAAACAATTCTCTACAAGATAAGCTATTTAAAATGGATTGGCATATTGAAATAAAACAGTTGGGAATCGTGACAGATGACCGCCGGCGGGCTCAAATATGATCTTAAAATTACCCTAACTTTTTCACTCGAGCGATTTGGCAAAAAATAAAAGCGGGCGCAGGACCAGCATAAAATAGGCTTGGTCTCATACCGAAACGCCATCTCGACCTTAGGTGGTTCCCTTGTTAGTCGTAGTACATTTGACCTATCCACGAGAGTTAAGCCTCAGTTCTGGCTAGGTTTCAAATAGCCAGCAACTTTTTGTCACCCGCCCGCCCCGCCCATTTTTTGGAAATTTTCAGAGTTTGAAAGGAATTCAGCTCTTTTTGTCGCCATGATAAGTCAGTAGTGCAATTGATTGTTTAAAAGACTTTTTAGCCGGAGAGAGATTTCTTTCCGCATTTCTAAAGGTCTGCTACGTATCGTACGGCCGACGGGTGGCAGGGGGGGCATGACTTACATCAAGCGGTTCGAGGCTGGCAGCGTCGTCGCTGTCGTCATCGTCGTCGTAGATAGTTCGCGCCCCCTAAAGGGTTAGATGACCGTCTTCCACATAGAAGCCACAAGCCAGTATAACATTGCGGCCGGGGACTCACGCTACGCTTCAGCTGCACCACCGCCCAACTGGCGGCCATGTAGTGTTTTGGTAGCAGGGCAAGGAAATCCTCAATTCGGATGCGAGAATCACTATAAAAATAAGACTTGCAAACAACATTAATAAACGGGGAGAAGCCACTGTAGAACGAACCCTCAAGGAGACGTTTTTAGGTGGGCACGGAGTTTCGTAACGAGACCTAGCTCATTCGAAAGCTCTTGAAAAACCGAACAACATGGCGGTTTCCGTTTCTGCGAAACGACAGCGGTTGATTTTTAAAAATTAAAATAAGAAGAAAATTTTCGTGCAACGCTTCGAGCCCAAGCTTTGTCAGGTGCCGCGATCGGGGCGCTCGGGTAACTAGGGATGCCTTCCAACTTACCATCGAGTTTCGACTTGAAAATTGGTGAGCTTATATAGTTTGAGCTTGCGATTCCGATGCGCTAAAAATTTTAACAAATCGTCCATAGGCGGCTGAGATATAACAAGTTTAATTTTGGCAAAAATGCATGATTTTGAGCGTGTCGTCCCCGCTGCCACTGCACGGGGCGTGCGGAGAAGAGGCCTCTCTGGCACCCCACCGCCATGGCAGCGTGGCCTCGAGGTAGAGCTCTCGTTTCAAAAACTTTTGGTCGGGGGTTCAATTCCGGCCACCAACTTTTTTTGAAAAAACTTTTTTAAGCTTTTTGCCAAACTTTTTGCGATTGTTTTACGATGCTGTAGCGAAGGATGAAGAAACACAGGAAAAGCTCTGGAGCATTTCTATGAACAGAGCAAGTCATTTTATCAGATTCGAGAATCTTCACAGCCCGCTATCTTTTGATTCCGCCAGAGAATACAAAATAATAATGCAGGTAAAAAATTTGGCAAAAAGCTTTAAAAAGTTTTTTCAAAAAAAGTCGGTGGCCGGAATTGAACCCCCGACCAAAAGTTTTTGAAGAGAGAGCTCTACCTCGAGGCCACGCTGCCATGGCGGTGGGGTGCCAGAGAGGCCTCTTCTCCGCACGCCCCGTGCAGTGGCAGCGGGGACGACACGCTCAAAAATCATGCTTTTTTGCCAAAATTAAACTTGTTATATCTCAGCCGCCTATGGACGATTTGTTAAAATTTTTAGCGCATCGGAATCGCAAGCTCAAACTCTATAAGCTCACCAATTTTCAAGTCGAAACTCGATGGTAAGTTGGAAGGCATCCCTAGTAAGACCGGGCTTTGAATTGCGTGCGCCACAATTTGCATGTCGCAGGAGATTGCATCAAAAAGACTTACGGTTGTCGTGCTGTTCGTCGATTACCGGTAAAGCCGCTGAAGTACAGGCAATCATCATCGTACAAATTGATTTCATGTCCATACCGCTCGCGAAACATGATGCGCCTCACCAAAATCGAAAACTGAAAATAGATAATTTCCGAAATGGGTTATTGTCGTCCGGGCTAAAGTCTAGTTTAACCCCCAATTTATCGATTAAAATTATAATACAAAAAAAGTCGATTTATCGATTGTCAACAATTTCGAGTTAAGTAGCTCATTCGACAGAGAACAAAATTTCTAAACACGTTGGTGATATTCGTTTTTTTCAGAAAACGGCCCGGAAACGCAAAGGAATGGCTTTGAAGTTGGCAAATGGGGGCAAAAATAGCACTTTGAGGCGCTATAACTTTTTAAAATGAGCTATTTGGCAAAAATGAGCAGCGGATTCGGAATCAGCAAAAAATCTACACAAAATAGGCTGGGTCCCATAACGAAACGCCACCTCGATCCTGGGTGGTTCCCCTTGTGAGGGGTGCTTTTTTGTGTGACACCCTCATCTCATCGAATTTGCCACTCGTCAAATTTTCGACACCGAAAAATGAACCGTTTCATTTTTCGGTGAATCGAAAATTGGGTGATTTGGAAATTCGGTTCTTGTGTATATTGCCCGGGGGGGGGGGACCAACTTTTTTTTGTCGGCCCTGGTGGGGATAATAATCAAATATAAAGTGTTTTCACATTGTTTTTAGCAAAATTTCCGCCTATTTGAATCGGAAAAACTTTTTAAACAGTTAGAAAAACGCTTGAAAAAGTCGAAAATTTGGCCATTTTTGGGCCGAAAAAATCGATTTTTCGACCTAAAATTAAATTTTTTAATTAAATTTTGTAAAGTTTTTATGTTTAGGAATAGCTATACACAATTTAGAAACACTTCCACTATTTATATAAAAAATCTAGGCTTGGGCCAAAAAAGTTCAGTTCCCCCCCGCGAATTCTTTCCCCCCGGGAATACACAAGAACCGAAAATTCTATTCTGCGTAATTCGATGATATGTAATTCGGTAAAATGACAGCAAATCATCCGTAATCGATACCGTCCGGTCTTTTCGGATTCGCGCGAACGGTTTTCGCGGGTTGCCCCCGGGGTGGGGGGGGGACGATTTTTTTCCTTTTTTTCCTAAAGAACCAAAGCTCCAACCCCAGGATTCGACGTCACTCTGTCAACTGCCTCCTCTTCATCTATTTCCGCTTCGAGCCAGGCGCATTCGACTTTCCGTGGCAATAGGCAGCGCGAATTGACGATCGACCTGAATATTACCCAAAGTTCTGTCGCCGAGATTTTGCAAGGCTCACAAAAAAAGTCGATAGGAGTATACTTTTCTTTTTATCGGAAAATCTGGTACTTGAATCTCGATTCAATGGAATCCTACATAATATTTTTCAGACACCCCGTAAGATGGGTTTACGGCATTACCGTAATCCTTTCGTGACACGTTGTAACGTGATGTTTTCGATGGTCCCCAATTGGTCGACGACCCTCGAAACAAGCCCGGCTGGTAGCTGGCCGAGTGGAAATCCCATCGAGTATCGGGAGTCTAGAAAGAAAAATGTGAAGAGTAGAAGCTCGTCTTTTCGAAATTCGTTGACAAAAGGCAACCAAATAAGAACAAATTCCAGACGTGAGAGATAGCGATTTAACCCAGCGGTCCCCCAAGACAACAGAATCGATTTGAGGTGATGCCCTCCAGCTATGCAGATCGGTGTCGATCGACAGCAGATGGCAGGTGTGATGGCTGGGCAATCAGCCATTCCCGCGCTTTCTCATCGATACTATTGGACTCCCGCAGAACTTTTTTTGAATGGCAATCGACCTGGTTTGATGGAAAAAGTACATTTCGTAGCTGAGGGAATAGCCACAAGAATCTCGACTCAGGGAGAGAGGAGAGAGAGAGCGGCAGAGAGAGAGAGAGAGAGAGAGAGCGAGAGAGAGGGAGGGAGAGTGAGAGAGAGAGGGAGAGAGAGAGCGGCAGAGAGAGAGAGAGAGAGGGAGAGTGAGAGAAAGAGGGAGAGAGGGCGACCGGAGAAAAGAAATTTTCGATCGTAAAAAATCGTAAAAATCAAAAATTTTTCACATTTTTTCGAGTTTTTCACTGTCGTATTCAGCATCATATTTATCGAAAAACCACGAGCGCGGCAATAACTGTACAGCACAATTTTCAAAAAAAATTAATGAAGAAAAATAGAAATCTTTGCGAGGAGGGATGGAACGTGAAAAAGACGCTGACCTCCTTCGCTCCACTGACGAGCACAATTCATTACACCTGAAAAAACACAATTTTGTTGGCTTTTCAAGGAGGTTGGTGTTCAACAATTTAATCAAAATCCCACCCTAGCCTCTATGACCTCCTCTAGCGTATACGAGTCGACGGTGCGCACCACCGACTCCTCGTCGTCGCTGCTGTTGCTCATGTGCTCGTAGACGGCAACACCGTGGTGCTCCTGCAGGCTGCGCAGGTTGATCACGGTACTTCCGGCAGCTCCGCCACCGCCGGGGGTTCTCAAAAGGTTTCTCTCAATCCCCATTTTTAGGCTCACCCAGCGCCCGCCGAGCCGGTGCGGCTCCTCGTGTGCTCGATGAGGGCCTGGACGAAGACTTGGTTCTTGTGCAGGTTGTTGCCGCCCTAGAATTTGTTCTTTACTCCGATTCTCTCTATCCCCCCTCTCTCTCTCTCTCCGCCCACCCACCCGAACGAGCTCCTTCGCGTCCTGCATCTGCAACCGCTTGTACATTCTGACGATCTTCGTCTGGTCCATCGTCTTCAGGCTCTTCTTGTTCACCAGCAACCTCTTGATGTAGTGGTGGTTGACGTGTTGCCATCTACAGTTTTAAAGGGTCTAGGAAGGCGACAATTGACCCCTCCATCGGCTTGGTCTTAGCAGCTACGCGACACTCCAAATCACGCGGCTCGTGTTAACCGCTAATGGGGAAAACTAACTAGCCAAAGTTCGAATGCGATTTCAAGTGCAATGTGGCGTGCCACGTAGCTGTCTAGCCCAGTCGACGTAAGGGGTAGATTCTCGCGCCACTTGGTTCCATTAAACGAAGCGTGACAGCAAGAAATTCCCGTTTTTGTATGGAATTCACCCTAGTTCTTATCAAAAATGCCTACGTGTCACGGATCCAGTGATGTCCTTTGAAACCGGCGATGTCCTCCATTCCAGACATTGTCGTATCGATCAGCTAAAAGTTAACGAATTTTCTCTCTCTCTCTCTCTCTCTCGCTCTCTCTCGCGCACTAACTCTCGCTCTCTCTCTCTCTCACCTCCTGATAGATATACTCCGTCATGTTCTTCTTGTGCTCGTTCTTCAGCTCGACCTGCAGGAACTCGGCGATCGGCTTGAGAGTTAGACCCTAAAAATATGACAGATTTCTTGTTTTTTTGCTCTCTCTCTGTCTCCCCTCCCTCCCTCTCTCTCGCTCTCTCTCTCCCCTCTCTCTCTCTCTCTCTCTCTCTCTCTCTCTCTCTCTCTCTCTCTCTCTCTCTCTCTCTCTCTCTCTCTCTCTCTCTCTCTCTCTCTCTCCCTTTCCCTCCTTCTTTCTCTCTCTCGCTCTCTCCCCCTCTTTCTCTCGCTCACTTTCTCTCGCTCTCTCCTATTTTTGCTTTCCTATTTCGTTTTTCGTTCCTATTCCACCCCATTTCGTGGGGGGCTGAATTGGGCGATGACAAATGCCTGGGAATTCATCGGCACCGCTACTATTCTCCGTTATCGATTATTTCCCGGAAAGCGGCCGCAAAAAATGATCGACGTCATCGAGATCGTCTTAATATTATTGGCCGTGATCCCACTAATTCTATTTTGCATCTATTTGAGCTTTTCTTGCCGCCGGATATTTCATTTTTGGTTTGTTGAGGAGAGACGGTGAGTTATTTGAGTCCTCAAGAATCTCGGCTAGCCTGCCCCTTCCATTCCCAAATGATCTCTGCTAGCCTGCCCCTTCCATTCCCAAATGATCTCTGCTAGCCTGCCCCTTCCATTCCCAAATGATCTCTGCTAGCCTGCCCCTTCCATTCCCAAATGATCTCTGCTAGCCTGCCCCTTCCATTCCCAAATGATCTCTGCTAGCCTGCCCCTTCCATTCCCAAATGATCTCTGCTAGCCTGCCCCTTCCATTCCTAAATTCTCTCTGCTAGCTTACAATTTCTAACTTCAGCCCCTCGACGCAGAAAACGCGACCCAGCTGGCCGTCTACGGTAGTGACGGAGGGGTCCCGCCGTGAAAGTTTGCGAACGTCGCGAGGGAATTCCGAGACTACAACGCACAACTTTTGGGTACAAGCCCGGAATTCGTTGCCGGGAAAGCTGGCCGGGCCAGAAACGGAGCCTTGCGTAGTGTAGTGGAAGAAAGGGAGAAACTTTATGTTTTCACCCTTGAAAAATGTGCATTTCTGATTTTTTTTGGCCGTATTCTTTCGAAACGCACTAGATTGGCGCGTACTTGAATTCATTTTGGCTATTTTGGCATGTTTTGACACACTTTTACCTCGTTTTAATGTACCATACCCACACCCATTTGCTCAGCATTGAAATGTGCTATTTTAACATTTTTTCGGCATTGTATTTTTGTGGTTTTTCAAAAATAAAAAATTTTTACAAATAAACTGACTTGCAAGAATACAGTAAAGTAGACGATGATGATGCACGAGGTGATGAACATGTTTTTCGCCGGGATGTTGGGCAAAGCGACCACCTAAGAATTACATTTTAAAGGAGTAGGGAAGCCAAAATTTCATTTGGGCCAGCCATAGGCTTATTGAAAGCTACGTTACGCTACGATACGCTACAATACGTTACAGTACACTACACTACACCACATTACGCGATGCTACGCTACATTACAATACACCGCGCGATGTTACTTAAAACTAAGTGTTGCGGAGCGCCTTCGAGCGCCCCCGCCTTTTCCCTTCGCTCCCCGGCCCCTCGCCTATCCAGTGCCCTTTCCACCGTAACGGGGTCTCTCTCCCCCCAGGGGCCTGCGATGGCATTTATTCCCCAGTTCCGATTCAGTTTCAATTCTACTCCTAATTCCTTCTTGCCGCCATGTTGCTCACCGAATAAACAATTGTTCGATAACTGTTCGTCCCGCTGCGCACCACACTTTGGCAAGACACAACACTAAGCTACACAGAGCTACATTACGCTTCGCTACGCTATACTCCACCATAATTCGCTACTATACGCTACGCTAGGATGCGCTACGCCATATTACGCTTTGCTACGCAACGAACCGCACTGCTTCAGAGCTCCGTGCTGTACTACGCTATCCAACTCTAAACCACGATAAGCATCGTTGCGTTACGCATAATACACTAAGCTTGTTACTGAACGCTATGCTACGCCGGTATACGCATGCTACGCCACATTACGCTAAACTCTGCTGGGATACTACGCTACACTACGCTATGCTGCGCTGCGATACGCGATACGACGCTACATTACGCTACGCTACGGATTGCGGCGTGGTACCACTCGTCTTTACTCCAGAAGTACGTACCAATCCGTAGGCGATGGCCCCACGAAGTCCTCCATAGGCCATGATGAACTGATCGACCTAGAGAATTTTCCTGCACAACTTTTTACGGGGCACCTTCGTGAACTTGAACAACCGGTAGCGATTCAGGATTCCGCACATGACGACCACGCCCAGGGTACGGTAGATGAGGCAGAAGACGACGGTGAGGATGATGAAGGGAGTGTCCCAGTGATGATCGGATGACACCGTGGACAGACCGAGGAACACGAAGATGACGGTTTCGGAAGAGAGGGAGATCACCTGAAAATGAATAGGAATCTCTGCTAGCGTGCCCTTTCCATTCCCAAATGATCTCTGCTAGCCTGCCCCTTCCATTCCCAAATGATCTCTGCTAGCCTGCCCCTTCCATTCCCAAATGATCTCTGCTAGCCTGCCCCTTCCATTCCCAAATGATCTCTGCTAGCCTGCCCCTTCCATTCCCAAATGATCTCTGCTAGCCTGCCCCTTCCATTCCCAAATGATCTCTGCTAGCCTGCCCCTTCCATTCCCAAATGATCTCTGCTAGCCTGCCCCTTCCATTCCCAAATGATCTCTGCTAGCCTGCCCCTTCCATTCCCAAATGATCTCTGCTAGCCTGCCCCTTCCATTCCCAAATGATCTCTGCTAGCCTGCCCCTTCCATTCCCAAATGATCTCTGCTAGCCTGCCCCTTCCATTCCCAAATGATCTCTGCTAGCCTGCCCCTTCCATTCCCAAATGATCTCTGCTAGCCTGCCCCTTCCATTCCCAAATGATCTCTGCTAGCCTGCCCCTTCCATTCCCAAATGATCTCTGCTAGCCTGCCCCTTCCATTCCCAAATGATCTCTGCTAGCCTGCCCCTTCCATTCCCAAATGATCTCTGCTAGCCTGCCCCTTCCATTCCCAAATGATCTCTGCTAGCCTGCCCCTTCCAATCCCAAATGATCTCTGCTAGCCTGCCCCTTCCATTCCCAAATGATCTCTGCTAGCCTGCCCCTTCCATTCCCAAATGATCTCTGCTAGCCTGCCCCTTCCATTCCCAAATGATATCTGCTAGCCTGCCCCTTGTCTTCCAAGTCGCTGCAAAGGATCCTCACCTTAATAAAGTAGGAGATGGCGTTGGACGACTTCTCCGGCAAGTTCTCCTTCATGTACTGCTTCATCGCCGCGCCACAGAACACTATTCTAAAGTAGGCGTAGACTTAAACTTAGGCTTCAACTTAGCCCAGGGTTAGGCTTAGTTTTAGGCTTAGTCTTAGGCTATGGCTTAGGCTTAGGCTTACATGACAACACAACTTACCCCATAATACTTGATAAACCAAACAGTTCTGCAGTCAGATAGCATAGGTACGGGACGACGAGGACGAAGACCGGGTTGAGGATGTTGACTTCGCGAGTGTACCTGTAGATGTTCGTGGATTTTCCAGGAGAAAGAGAGAGAGAGAGGGGGGGGGGAGAGAGACAGAGGAAAATTTCTCACTTCGTGATAAAACAAGCTCCAGCAGCGAAAAGCAGCCCAATTCCGATACCGCCAAAAGCGACGACCATGTACGAGATGGCTCCATAGTAGAAATCCTAGAAAAACGGTGGCGTAGTACCTTCAAAAACCCGACAATGAGCATGAACTCTTCGACGACCAGGTTTCGGCAGTTACGCAACACGCCAAATCACGTTGCATGTGATGCATTTCGCGATATTGCTACTTCCTAGCTGGGCTATTAAACTTTTCCTTTTGCGGATTTTGACAGGCGCGTAGCTGTCGACATCCAGTCTAGGGAAGACGTCGATTTTCGCCCTTCCCAGTCCCTTTAAAAGGCCCTTAAACAGGGGCGCCTACCCTCGAGATCAGATTCTCGGAGCCGATGATCGTGTAGTCCTCGAACATACGGTAGAACACCTAGAAATCGTTTTTTGGCTGCTTGTTTGATACCTCATCACAAGGAAAATTTCAGATACGTTTTTTCGAGAAAACTTACGACAGCCACTCCGTCATTGAGGAGCGATTCGCCAAAGACGGAAATGAAGAGGATGTCGTTGACCTGAAAATGATGGCAATTTTTTGAGGCTTAGGCTTGGGCTTGGTCTTGGATTCGGGCTTGCTATAGGCTTGGCTTAGGCTTAGGTTTGGTTTAGGTTTAGGTTTGGCCTAGGCTTACAAGGGAAGTGCACAACCGGCCCACGAGAAATCAACACGAGACATAGTGGATCTGATAGAATCGGACACGGGAATTCCGAATCTGTAATCAGAATTTGCTAAATAAAACGGAGAAAAAAGTTATAAAGCTTCAAAGTTGACCAAATCGCCAAAAACGGTACCTTTAAGGGCCCGTAAAAACCGGGGGAACGGAATTGAGGGGAAAAGAATTAATGCAGCTTGTTCAGCAGAAACAGCGCTTTCGAATGAGCTGTAATAAGTAGCATTTGCAAACAATTCACTGGAAAAAGTTTTTTTGGATTCACGGGCCAGGGTATGTCAAGTTCATAGAAGAGATTTTCGCGAAATCATCGCAAACTTGAAGTAAGATAGCTCATTCGAAAGCGCTTTTTCTGCTGAACAAGATGCACTAATGGGTTGTGGCAAATTTCCATTCCCTGGGCCTTTACAGGCCCATAAAAGTCCGATTTTGGGCAATTTTCCCAACTTTGAAGCTTCATAACTTTTTTCTCCGTTTTATTTAGCAAATTCTGATTACAGATTCAGAATCCCCGTGTCCGATTCTATCAGATCCACTATGTCGCGTATCGATTTCCCGTGGGCCGGTCGTGCACTTCCCTTGTTAGGTTAGGTTTAGCTCAGGTTTAGGTCTATGCTTGGCTCAGACTTGGGCTTAATCGTAGACTTAGGCTTAGGCATAAGCTTAGGCTTAGGATTGGTTTAGGTTTGGCTTGAGCTTAGGCTTCGGCTTAGGCTTCGGCTTAGGCTAGGCTTGGGCTTAGGCTTAGGCTAGGCTTGGGTTTAGGCTTAGGCTTAGGCTTAGGCTTAGGCTTAGGCTTCGGCTTAGGCTTCGGCTTACGCTTAGGCTTAGGCTTAGGCTTAGGCTTAGGCTTCGGCTTAGGCTTAGGCTTAGGCTTAGGCTTCGGCTTAGACTTCGGCTTAGGCTTAGGCTTCGGGTTAGGCTTAGGCTTAGGCTTAGGCTGGGCTTGGGTTTAGGCTCGGGTACGCACACTTTCAGGCACGATTTGAAGCCAGACAGGTCTTTTCCTTTTCTTACGAAGCCCCATCTTGGCTTCCGATGTCCCCCGGACAGCGCCGAGTTTATCACTGCCAGAAGCCGTATACAAGTTTACGACCCCGGCGACACACCGGTAGTAGCTCCTCCCGGCGGAACGTCGATTAATTGGGAAAGACGGAAGGTGATGTATTGATTCGGTTTTGGTATGACGAGAGAGAGAGAGAGAGAGAGAGAGAGAGAGTGACAGAGAGCGAGAGACGGAAAAGTGTCCAGCTGTAGTGTCCATCCCCCTTTGGGAACGTTCAGAAATAGCGATGAAGATCTGGTACAACTACTTACAAGCCCCGTAAGAGCGTCGCTTTTTCTCGAGCATCGGCGAGGCTCTCTCTCGCACTCTCTCTCCCTCTCCCTCTCTCTCACTCTCTCTCTATCTCTTCCGAATCTTGAAGTGATCAGCCAATGCCAAGCTAGCAAAGCTTTTGAAAACGGTTTTCTAGGCCCAAGCCATTGCATTTCCCGCGAGAATCGATGAGGCCACAAATCATTCCAGGCATAGCTTATCACTAGAAGCGGGGCTGCATGGATGGCCGGACCATGGCGCCCTACAGCCACTATTACGCACGTGGCGATTGTAATTGTTATCCTGGGGGGCTGGAGTGAGCCGGAGCGATTCGGAATTCTGATGTTAGCAAAATTTCAACGTGTGGGAGTATGAGCGAGAAAGAGAGGGAGAGAGAGAGAGAAAGCGAGAACGAGCGAGAGAGATAGAGAGAGAGCAGCGAGGGAGAGAGAGCACGAAAAATCTGACAAAGCTTCCGTAAACTCCAGAAAGTCCCTGTCGCGAAAAATCTCTGCCAGTTTGCCCTGCATATCCAGTAGTCGCAAGCTAGCTAAAGAGAGAGAGAGAGAGAGAGAGAGAGAGAGAGAGAGAGAGAGAGAGAGAGAGAGAGAGAGAGAGAGGGACGATTCAAGAGCGACACCGAGTTAAAAAAAGCACCCCCGCCCTCGAGAAATCTCTAAGAGTTCCACTTGCCTATTAAGCAGCGGCAACTAGCAGAAAATTTATTTGGAGGATGTTGCAACAGTATTAT